CCGTTGGGGTCTCCCTGGCGGCCCGTGGGCAGCCGGGCATGCTTGACGGGGGCCAGTCACATGCCAGGAACCTCACCTGGGCTCTGTCTGCGCAGGCCCCCTGGGAATCCCCAGCAGCCTTGCGCGGAGGGGCGGAGCTTCTTGAGGCAGGAGGCCCGGTGCCTTAGCAGTTGGCGGAGCTTGCGGCTTAGCAGCGGGCCCGGAGGAGAGGCTGCAGCGGCCATGGAGGCTCCGGACGACCATGTGGACGGCGCGGACGGCACGGACGGCGCGGGGGCCATGCGGGCCCCGGACGACGGCGCCCATGATGCGGCGGGCGGTGCTGGCTCGCCCAGTGGCCCCGGGGAGCCTGGAGGCCCTGGTGGCACCGAAGCGCCGGGCACCGAGGCTGGGGAAGCTCCCCAGCTCAAGGGGGCATCGTCTGCTCCAGGGCACAGCGAGGAGGATTCGGCCTTGGCCTCTGGGGAAGCCTCAGAAAAAAAGCAAGTGCTGGAATTGTATCCTTTCCAGAGAGCTGGGGGGAGGGTGTCTGGGGGGGGGTGTCGAGAGACAGTAGGGGATGGGCGGGAGCGGGGAGGCCGAAGGGGCGGCCCCGGTGGTCTTGGGTGGCCCTAAGGGAGGTCCGGCGCACAGCGGGCCTCCGATGGGCAAGGAAGCCTCCTCCATGAAGTCCACCCAGATATGCCTTCTTAACCAAATCTCCACCAGTGCCCTCACGGTGCCTTTCCTGTGCTACATGGATGCGGAACTGGCCTACCAGTACCTAACCTCAAGTGCCGAATTCTACCATGAGGCGATTCACACGGAGCTCAGGGTTGTTGGCAGTGACCTGTTTATGTAAGTTCTAGAAGGGGCTGCTGGGAGCACCAGCGGGGATCTGGGTTAATCTCTGCCTGACAGACACTCTGTTGGAGCTGGGGAGACACCAAGGGCTTGGTGTAAGGACGACACAGAGCCCCGGGTTCGGTGCAGCCTCGGGGGTTGCTCTAATGCAGACGGAAGGGGTAACATGGAGGGGGGGATTTGGAGCAAGGAGGGCCGGGAGTTCTCAAATCTGAAGTGGTTTCCTCTCCCCATACTTCCAGCCGCCTGACTGCCGAGGACCCTGTTCTCCTGCAGATCTCCACCGCCTACTTGCTCAACCAGCTTTCCATAGTGGTGCAGACCATGCAGCACTTTGTGCCTGGCTGTTTTTCTAGGCCTCGGCCTGGAAAAGGGGGCTGAGGCCACGACAGTATCGGGTAGTAGGCCATGTGCCCTTCCTCGGGGGCACGACTTCTGCGGTAGTTGCCATTTTATTTCTGGGGCCGAATTGTTTGCCTGTACTGCCCCTTGGGTACTCTGTGTCCACTTGTTTTGATTGTTGCTTAAATAATACAGTAATAAAGCTGAGCTAATGTTTTGCATCTGAGTTTCTTTTCAGCGCCCAGATTTCCTTCCAGGTGTCCTCAGGTTGAGGGGAGGTTCTGGTTCTGGTACGAGACAATTGAAGGCAATTAACGAAATGAAAGGAAATTAAAATTGCTTGGGTCCCGTCATTCAACGTTGACTACTGTCAGCATTGGGAAGGCTTTTGTAGCTTAGGGTTGTAGGAATACATTAAACGTATAAAGGAATACGCTTTTTCAAGTTCAGCATCGTGTTTTTCTTTTTCTGAAACATTTTTCATCTGATATTTGGGCTTTCCCTCTGTCTAAAACTCCTTCAAAAATGCCTTATTGATTGGATATGTACAAGATGTATTATAATGTATTTGTTTGACGCTTCAGTTTTTCTCAAATTTTTCCTGTTACACGGAACGTTTCAGTGGGATTCTTGCGTGTCGGCCTCTGAATGGTGGCTGTTTTCCCAAGATGGATTCCAAGACGCCAGGTCTATGCCCCGAGGCCGCTCTCCGGACGCCACGCGGAGTCTGGTCCCGGCCGAACGCTGG